TCCATCATCCATGGATCCATGGATCCATCCATGGATCCATCCATCATCCATCCATCCATCCATCCATCCATCCATCCATCATCCATCCATCCATCCATCCATCCATCCATCCATCAATCCATCCATCCATCCATGGATCCATCCATCGATCCATCCATCCATCCATCCATCCATCCATCCATCCATCCATGGATCCATCCATGGATCCATCCATCCATCCATCCATCCATCCATCCATCCATCATCCATCCATCCATCATCCATCCATCCATCATCCATCCATCCATCCATCCATCATCCATCCATCCATCCATCCATCCATCCATCCATCCATCCATCCATCCATCCATGGATCCATCCATGGATCCATCCATCCATCCATCCATCCATCCATCCATCCATCCATGGATCCATCAACCCATCAGCCATCCATGGATCCATCCATCCTTTATCCATTATTCATCCATCCATCATCCATCCATGGGCACGGGGGAGTTGTGGGGGGCAACTTTACCTCTCCCCTCCCAGGCTGGACTTCCTGAGCCTATTCCCAGCATCCCTGTCTCTTGCCTGCCCCTTCCCTCTCCCCTTTCCCACTCAGTGTTGTTTTATTTGCTGTTTGGCAGGAAGCAGCCAGCAAAACTGGTGTGGAAAAAACAGCGGAGAAGGCGGCGTGTGGAAAAGGACCCAAAACTCCTGGTGCTGAAGGAGAAGAGGCTGAAGGACACGTATGATGGAGGAGGAGGGGGTGGAACAGCCTCGTGCCCTCGGCCCACACTGAGAAAGGTTGCTGCCAAACCTTGGGACTTGCCAGTGTTTCCTTGTAAAGCTTGTTACAGTTTGTGTGATCGTGGAAGCCAAAAGCACCTCGCAAAGAAAAGCGACCCTGTCCCCCCGCCCTGGGGGCACGGGGGGCAGAGCAGGAGTGGCAGGACACCGTGGGACCACTGCACGTGGAACAAACACCATTTAAACAGCAGGGAAAAGAAAAGAAATGATTAGCATGATAAATTAAAACGCTTGGCTCCTGGGAGGTTCCCGTAGACAGCTTGTTCCAGCTCCCTGTGTCCACTCTCAGCACAGCATCCTCTGGGAGGAGCTGGGGTGTGGGACGTGCTCCTTGCACACTCCTTGCACACTGCAGTGCTGCCCCTGGCTGTCCCAGCACAGCCCTGGGGACAGGGACTGCCTTTGTCTCCTGCTGACTCCCTGTGCCCAAAGTTTGGAGGGCAGAGCCAGGAGGAGAAGCCCCACAGCCTCTGCTGCAGCCCCTGGGTGCAGAGACATCTTTAGTCTTTAAAGCACTGTTTGGGGAGGGGGGCACACTCTGATTTTACCTTCTGAAGGAGCTGGTTCCTGTTTCTTTAGAGAGCAAAAGCCTGTCCAGCTTTGCAGGTGCCCAACCCACAGCCTGCACCCCATCCCTTGGCTCCCAGCTTTAAATGGGAGTTTTATTGCTTTTATTGGGATCTCTGTGTGGGGAAAATTAAAAAGCAGGTTTGACATGTGGTGCAGAAAGCCAGTGGCTGGGTCTGAGCTGGTGCCATGGGTTTGTCACTGAGCAGCTTTCCCATGGTGAGGGGGTCCTGGGTGCACGGTGTCCCTGCACCAGAGCTGCTGCTGCCTCCTCAGCCATCAGCCCTGTCCATCCCAGAGGGACACTGGCACTACCCCAGGAGAACAGCTTTCCAGTTGTTGTTTTTCCTGTCTCTACAATAATGCCCCTTTTGGAGCTTGAAAATAAACAACTGAAAGAAAAAAGAAAATAAAAAATAAAATAGTATTTTTTTCTCTGAATCCTGCTCAAAAAATGGGGTGGTGTGGGGAGGATGGGTGGGTGCTCCTTGGGGGGGAGATGCCCCAGAAGTTGAGGAATTATTGGTGTCTCCCAGAGCTGGTGCTGCCCATTTTTATCAGTGCCATTGTTCCCTGGAGAGCCAGTGATGGGCCAGCAATCCTTGCTTTGCCTGGCTGGGGGATGCTCTTTGGGGTTTTTTCACCCTGGGAGGTTTATCCTCATGCTTTTTTCCCCCCATCCCTAGTGTATTATTTTAGGAGGGGTTTTCCTGAGTGGGTGGAGGAGTCATTTGTGCCCCTTGACCGAGGGTGGGGACAGAACAGAAAGCTGAGCCAGTGGGGAATTGGGACTGCCCACCCCTCTTTTACACCCCCCTCCACAATCTTGGCAGAATAAGCCATATTTGGTTAAAATTCCTCTCCTCCAGTCCCATCAGGTGGCACCTAAAGCATCATTTCTGAAGTCTGTTTTCCCACCTGCAGTAGTGGCACAGCTGCTCCAGCTGCCCATCCAGCTCTTGGCTTTTCTATCACCATGGGATGCACCTCCCTGGAGCCTGCTGCGAGGCCCAGGGCCTCTGCAAAACCTGGGCTTTTCATTTTTTCTTACAGGGCAAAAAAAGTCCTTTGGGGGCAGCCCAAGCCACATTTTCCATAGGAAATAATCTCAACAGGGAAAAAAAAAAAATCAACTTGCTTTGCAGTTTTTGGGCTTGCTCCCCGTTTTGAAGCAGATTTTTGGTTTGTTTTGGCTGGGTGCTTTTCTGTCCCTTGGAAGAGAAATTGAACTCGTGTGGGTGATGAGGTTTAGAGATGAAAGGGAAACCAGGAGGGTTTTGTAAGGAGGATTAAGCAGTTCCCGGTGCCGCTGCATGTGCAGTGCTCAAATGCCATCTAGTGGCACCAAGCAGGGGCTGGGGGTTTTGGGGGGACCGCGGTGGGCTGGGCAGGGCCAAGGGCCGGTGGGGACACTGGGGACACTTGGCTTGCCTGGCTTTGCAGCCCCGTGGGGAACAGCAGGAGTGATGCAATGAGGAGGTGAGGCGTGAGCAGGAGCTTATGAAACACATCCAGAGACCTCGGGACGCGGGACAGGGTCAGGGCAGAGCAGTGCTCGGGACAGAATCCCTTAGCACCACCCGGAGCAGGGATGCTGCCTTCCCCTGCATGGGCTTTCCACGTAAACTCACACAAAACAGCCCAAATCCTGCTGTTCTCTCACCAAGGAGACATTTTTGGGTGAAAAACAAAGATACACAGGGAGGATAACCCTAAACACAGAGCCACTCCTCTGCCCACTGGCTGTGCCGTGCCAGGGACCCCAAGCAGCCAGGGGGGAACCTGTGCACCCCAAAAAGGTCTGGGGTCTGTTTGACCCCTGCATTCCTGCAGAGCCCCCTTTTTTCCCCCTGTGGTTACTCCCTGCCAGCTGCTCTCCCGGCAAGCTGCCTGCCAGCCCCTGAAATCCTATTAACCGAGTTTCAGGAGAAATAAAGTTAATCGCCTCCTCCACCTGCTCTTCCTCCTTTCCCTTCTCCTCCTCCCAGCCCAGAGGTTGCGGAGGCGGCCGGGGCTGGGACTGAGCCCGTGGCCCTGGGCTGCTAGGGGCTGCAGGGCAGGGCAGGACCGAGCCGTGCCGAGCCGAGCCGTGCCGGGCCGGGAGCGATGCCGCTGCAGACGGAGATCCTGCGAGAGGTCTGGGCTGCCGACAGGTCGGTGCCGGGGGCTGGGTTGGATCTGTGGGGTGGGAGATGTGGGGTGGGATTTGTAGTGTGGGATCTGCACTATGGGATCCCCAGGGTAGGATCTGCAAGGTGGAATCCATGGGGTGGGACCTGCACTGTGGGATCAGCACTGTGGGATCCGTGGGGTGGGATGTGTTTCTCCTGTTTTCAATTTCAGCGCAGTTCAGTGAGCAGTTTAATCACGGTGTTGTTCCTTTGGGGGTTGCTGGGATGATGCTCACTGATTTACAGAGAGGAAAAGTTTGTTAGATGGGGATCCCCAGATTAAGCTCCTTGCTGTCCCCTGGCCAAGGCAGAGCCTGTGCTGTGCTCCTGTTAGGAGGGATGGTGTCAGGCAAGCCCGACCCAGACAACACAGGGGGAAATGCTGCTGGAACCAAATAAAAGACTGACCTTTCCCCCTTTACCAAAAGCTGGGGCAATCTCGTGCCCCCGGGGTCTGTGGGGGGCTGCAAGCCCTCACCCTTTTGGTTTCTGTGCCCCACAGCCCCAGTGAAGAGCCGGGGAGCCCCCAGCAGCACAAACCCAAACAGGTGAGAGAAAATCCTTCCCCTCCATCCCATGTGCCACCATCCCCTGCTGTGGCTGTCCCCAAGGGCTGGGGACATCAGAGACCCTCAAACCCCCAAGCCCACACCAAGGCTGATTTGGGGCTGCTCTATTGGGGTGCTGCAGCCTGTGAGGGCATGAGATTTTTGGGAACCCCCTCCAGAGCAGGTGGGCAGAGACAATTCCACAGCCCTCCCTTCTTTGTGCATCCTTCTGAATCCCCCCTCCATCACTCTGAAGCGCCCCATGAGGAGGGATCCTAGTTCTTAGATAACAATTTAATTAAGCCCCTCAGTTAAGCTGTAAACTGTGACTCACTTTCCCCAGACCATGACCCTGAAAGCCAGACCCCCCTTCCCTGCCTTTCAGAACAGCCCCCAGTGCCCCCCAGCACTGGAAGGGTCTCAGCAGCAATTTCATCCACCACCCAATTTAATTTTTAATCAGCAGCTCCTCCTTGAAGGGCTTTGTTAAGTAAGGGAGTGGTTGCCCACCCTGCAGCTGCTTAAGGGATTAGGGGGTGCAAAGGAGATTTTCCTGTGAGCTCATGACACGGAAGAAAGCAACCAGTTCCCAGCTTCACCACGGAGCCCCCAACTCCCCCTCCCCAAATTCACACCCCTGGGGTATCACAGGGACCCACCAGGATCCCACTTTTTGCAAAACACCTTCGCACACTGCCGTGGAGCACGTGGGAGAAGGGAAAGCCCTGCGGGGAGGAAGATGCTGTGCCAGGCAGCAGAAGCCTCAGTGCACCTGGATTTGCTGAGATCACTTTCTGAGAGCCCTGAGCTGACACCCACTCCCCAAATACCTCCTGCCCAGAGGCAGGTGCTGACCCACATGCTCTGTATTTGGTAAATCGGGGTTATTTATAGCCCCAGCTAACCAGGATTAGGTATGCTGTGCCTAATCCTGCTGCTTCCCTGCTCCTGCTGACCTCCTTGCCATGCACAGGAGCTTCTTGTGGGTGTGAGAGCAGATGGAGGTGACAGTCCAGGCTGGCTGCCCCTCCCTGTGTCCCCTGTCCCAGCTCAGGTGCCCAGAGTGGTCACCAGTGCCCAGCATGGCTCCCAGCCAGGGTCTCTGTGTGATTTGTCCCTCTGTGCTCACACGGTGTCACAGCAGCACCATCACCCATCCCTCACCTGCAGGGCTGTCCCAGGGCAGGTGTTCTGTCTGTCTGCTAACAGGCCTTTGTGTTTCCCTCCCTCTGCCTTCCTCGGGGGTGCCCCATGGTAAGTGACACTGTGGAAGGTGGCAGTGTGTCCCGAGCTGGGCCAGGGCAAAGCCTGGCTGCATTTCTGGAAGGAACCCAGTGCTGACTGAGCAGGGGTTCCCTGGCAGAGGGAAAAGGTGTTTGAGGCTGGCACCACCTCTGCAGGGTGAGGGCAGAAGCTGAAGAAGAAGAGGCAGGAGCCCGGGCTGGATCCTGAGGCCAAACCACGGCGGCCACGGGTGAAGAAGCTGAGTGAGGCAGGGGCTGCAGAGGAGCCCCCAGCCCCGGCACAGGGTGAGCACAGACCCCACACCCCGGGGAAATGGGGGAAATGGGGACCCCCACCCTGCACCCGAGGCACTCTCATCGTGGGCATCTCTTGAAACATGCAGGGGTGAAGAAGGTGAGGAAGAAGAAGGAGGAGAAGGGAGAGGAGGAGAGCGACAGGGACCCCTCCTCCAAATTCACCAAGGAGCCTCGGAAGAAGAAGGAAAGCCTGGCTCCCCGCTCCCAAGTGCCCAAGGGCTCCAAGAAACCCCAAGGTGTGGGGGCAACACCCAACAACCACCCCTGTACCAGGTCCCAGTAGTGCCGGGGGTGCTCCCAGTGCCTGCTGGGGCTCAGCTGGGGCTCAGCTGGGGTTCTGTGGGGCTCTGCTCATCCCGGCACAGCTTTTTGCCTAAACCCATCTGCGGAGCTGGGCGGAACGGGGATGTGGCGGGGGGGCTGCGCTCGCTGCCTTGGTCGGGGAGCTGGCACCGAGGGGCAGAGGGGGTGACACCCTCCTGGGGAGGTGACACTGCAGCGAGAAGCGGCTCGGCTCGGCTCGGCTCGGCTCGGCTGCGGCCGCGAGAGAGCGCTCTGGCTGCGGCTGGGCACGGCCGGGACAGCGGCAGCCCCGCTCGGCCGGGGACGGCCCCTCCTGGCTGGGGGACCCCGCTGGGGGACCCCGCTGCCACAGCCGGTTGTGCTGGGTGTGCTGGTTGTGCTGGCTGATGCCGCGGTCACCTCCGGGCAGAGCCGGCTGAGGATGAGGAGGATGAGGAAGAGGAAGAAGAAGAGGTGGAGAATAAAAACCCGCCGAAAAAGCTCAAGAAGAAGCTCCCCAAAGAGCCCCTCTCCGGCGGGGGGGAGAAGAAGCTGAAGACGAAGGGTGAGTGCCCAGGGGACAGGGATGGCTTAAGCTCAGCTCTGGGATCTGTCCTTGCTGGAGGAGGGAGGTGCCTTCACTGTCCCGGAGGCTCAGGGGGCTGCAGAGCCATCGCCCCCTCCCAAAAATCTCCCCCCAGCTCAGCCCCTTCTGCTGCTCCGACCCTGTCCCCATCACTGTCCCCATCCCCTGGCTGGCTGCTCATCAGCTCCTCTGTCCCAGCAGAAGACAAGAGCGACCCTGACAGCAAAGCCAAACCTGCCAAAAGCACCAAGAAGGAGCCCATGTCCGTGTTCCAGGTGAAGAAGGAGAAGAAAAGCAAGAAGAAAGGTATGGGATGAACAGGAGGAGTGGCAGGCAGTCCTGCTGCCTGATGGCATCACCAGAGTTGTGTGACATGTCCCCCGTGTCCCTCACAGCTGCCACCAGCAGTGATGAGGAGGATGATTCCGACTCCAGCACCAAACCCATTAGGTCAGAGAAGAAGAAAAACCCAGCATCCCTCTTTCAGACTGGTGGGGACCCCCCAAAAGAGAGAAAATCCAAAAAGAAAGGTGAGAGCCCAGCACTGGGGCGTGGTGGGTTCTGGGGGTGCAGGGAGCTTGGCCATGCACAGGGGGTTACAGTCACTGATGTTGGCACTGGTCTGTGCTGAGCTTGATTTTGGGGCTCAGTAGAGTCAGGATTTTCTCCCTCCTGTGTCCCTACCTGTTCCTGCCAGCAGTTCCTCCCAAAGGGGCTGAGAGTGAGGAGGAGACCCCAGAGACCCAGCAGAAAAACTCCAACAAGAAGGGGAAAGCAAAGAAATCAAAGAAGGTACAAAAGACCCCTCAGAGCCCGGGGAACCCCTCAGGGTGGGAGAAGAGCAGCTCTTCCCCTCAGGGCAGGTCAGGAGGATTGCAGCATCCCCTGGTGAGAGCCACCAGAGTGTCCCCAGAGCCACCAGCCGCACAGCCCGGGGGGGATGGACAGCGAGGAGCAATGAGTGGGGAGGGAGGGGGGCTCTGGGGTCACCATCCCCTCTCACGCAGCAGCAGAAGGAGGAGAGGCCGCCGTCCCCTGCCATCGAGGTGGACAACCTGGAGGAGTTCGTGCTGCAGCCGGCGCCGCAGGGCGTGACCGTCAAGTGCCGGGTGACACGGGACAAGAAGGGCATGGACAGGGGGCTCTACCCCACCTACTACCTGCACTTGGACAACGACAAGAAGGTGATTTGGGGTGGGGGCGTGGAGGCATCCATCCCAGAGAGCAGCCTCAGGGTTTGGGGGATGCTTGCCTCGCCCCTCTGTGCGTCCTGAATGAGGCTGCTCCCCTGTCCTGCAGCTCCCGTGGGTGGTGCCTGGGAGGATGAGCTAACAGTGGCTCGAGAGCCGTGCTAAAGCTGGGCTGGGCTCAGCCCCTCCTGCCCTGTAATGCAGACAGTGTTTTGGGGATCATCTTCATGGCTTGCTCAAGGTCATGGCAGTGACTTGTTGGGGGACAGCAGTGACAATGTCCCATTCCCACATGGTGCCACTGCTCTACCAGGTGTTCCTCCTCGCTGGGAGAAAGCGTAAGAAGAGCAAAACCTCCAACTACCTCATCTCCATCGACCCCACTGACCTGTCACGGGGTGGAGAGAACTTCATTGGGAAGCTGAGGTAGGAGCAGAGCTGGCACCCCACTTTGGTGGCACCCCGTTTCTGCAGCACCCTCTTCCCCCTCATGACTTACAGGCTGTCCCAAGCCATGGCTGGAGCAGACAGGAGGTTAAATTCAGCATTTCCCACTGCCGTGTCTGACCTGAGGAGTGGTGGGGGGCTGAGAGGGGAAAACAAGCTTGGCCGGTTCCTCCCAGCAGACAGGTCATGGCTGGAAAAGGCACCTGGCAAGTCCCAGCCCGCACTGCCAGCAGCCACACAGCAGTGCTGGGGGTCCCCGTGGTGGCAGCACCCTGTCACACCCCGATCTGGGGGCTCCTTGAACCCAAGAAAATCACTGGAGGGTGGGAAGGTCGGCATTGGCGGGGAGCAGCACCGCGGGTTTGCAGCCAGACCAAAACCAAGGCTGTGCCTGGAGAGAGGCCACAGAGGGGGCACAGGGGACTCGGTGGCATCAGCCACGGCCACGTGCCACCCTTGCAGATCCAACCTGATGGGGACGAGGTTCACCGTGTTCGACAACGGCGCCAACCCCGACAGGGCCAACGCTGACTGGTCCAACGTGCGGCAGGAGCTCTCAGCCGTGGTCTACGTAAGAGCAGCACACAGGGACCCCCTTCCCGCCTCTCCCGGGCAGGGAGACAGGGGTTCCCACCCTGCACCCCTCCCCTGGGGCTTGCAGAGGTGTGGGGTGGGCTGGAGCCACCCCCGAGCCCGCGTTCAGCCCCCGTGGGAGGCTGTAACCCGCGGTGGTGGCTGGTTTTAGGGACGGGGTTTGTCTTGTAGGAGACCAACGTTTTAGGGTTCAAAGGCCCCCGGAAGATGACTGTCATCATCCCTGGGATGAATGCTGACTGTGAGAGGGTGCCCATCCGGCCACGGAATGTAAGTCAGGGGCCAGACTGGGAGAAATTCCTTGGGAGCTGGGTTTGCTGGGCCCCACCTTGGATTTTACCCATCTTGGGGCATGGAGAGGCTTTCAGGTGTCCCTGAAATTCAAGGTGTTTCCCGGAGGTGGGAGACATGGTGTCTTTTTCCCCATGAGAGATCCCATTTCCAGCTGGGTACTGCTACAGAGCATCCCCCAGGATGCCACAGGGAGGTGGCAGGGCTCTGCAGGGGTCACCCCAACTCTGCTCCCCTCCCTCTTTCCCCTCCCCAGGACAACGACGGGCTCCTGATGCGATGGCAGAACAGGAACATGGACAACGTGATCGAGCTGCACAACAAAGCCCCAGTGTGGAACGACGAGACCCAGTCCTACGTCCTCAATTTCCACGGCCGGGTCACCCACGCCTCCGTCAAAAACTTCCAGATCGTGCACAGCAGTGACCGTAAGCTGGGACAGGGGATAGGGTGGGGGGCACTGCCCCATGAGCTGGCCCCAGCACCCAGTGTTTTTGCTGAAGTTCAGCTTTTTCATGCTCTGGAGTCCTGCCTGCCTTTGCTGGAGCTGGGATGAAGCCAGGCAGGTCTCCCTGCAGGAGCTGCCCTTGGGCCCCGGCACTGGCAGGGTGTGGGGCTCCTATTGCCAGGCAGCTCTAGGGCAAGGACAGATCCTGCGGGGTGCTGAGCCCCCAGCACACTCCAGCCACCCACTCAGCCCAGAGCACTGTCCCCAGCGCCCTGGCAGGCTCACTGAGCCTCGGGGACAGTCCCTCAGGGGTGGCAGCAGCTCTGCCTGGATGCGGCTGCTCGTCACCTGTCCGGCGCAGTCAGAAGCCCTTGGCCTCCGGGGTGTTGGGTTACGGGACAGAAAAAGCCTCTTGAGGGCCCCTGGTTATTTTTACAGATTTCCTGTCACCCGCCCTCCAGCAGCAGCAATCCCACGGTGGGGGGGTGGGGTGAGTGGGGTCCCTGTCCCTTTGGGGGGCTGTGGCACCCAGGCAGGGTTGTGCTGTAGGCAGACAGCAAAACGCTGCATTTCAGCGATCCGTGCTGCAGCACAGCACAGCAGGCACGGGGCTGAGCTGGGCCGGGGCTGCGTGGGCAGCTCCTTTTGGCTCGCTGGGGACAGGCAGAGGCAGGCTGGGCGCGCAGGTGACAGCCGGTGGCTCGCCCTCTCTCCCGCAGCTGACTACATCGTGATGCAGTTTGGGCGGGTGGCGGACGACGCCTTCACCATGGACTACAACTACCCCCTGTGCGCCCTGCAGGCCTTCGCCATCGCCCTCTCCAGCTTCGATGGGAAGCTGGCCTGCGAGTAGCACCGGGACACCGGGGCTGCCGGGACCACCGGGGCTGCTCCTGCAGCCCCGTCCTGTTCCGCTCCCTGCACTTCCACCTTCTTGCAGTCACGGCTGTTCCTGGCGTGCTTCAAGGCACCTGGTGCCCACCGAGTGCTGTGGGATGCTCACCCAGCTGCAGCCACCCTGCCCCTCCAGGCAAATTCGGGGCAAATCGCTGGGCTGGGGTGATGGCAGAGCCAGGCTGGAGGTGTATTCATATTCAGCAGATGAGGCTGACTGCAATCCCTGTCTCATCCCATTGGACTCAGATCCCGGAAACTCATCCACCCTACCCCCGTTTTTGTTTTTTTTTTCTTCTTTTGGATTTTTTTTTGGTTTTTTGTTTGTTTATTATGGTTTATGCTCAGCGTCCCATTGAGAAGGGGGGAGGTGGTCTCCTCACTTTGTGTCTCCTCATCCCTGCCCATATGCAGGTGGGCTCTGCCTGAGCTCCCAGCTAAAGCCCCTGTCCCAGCTCGTTGCCCACCAAGCACAAAACCTTTCTTTTCCCCCATTTTGCCCTGGTGTGAGTGAATGGCTGGTGCCCACGGCGTGTTTGTACCCACTGGGTCTCACCTGGCTGCCCAGAAATTGCTGGGGCTTTGGGGCCCTAAGCAGCAGCCTGGCACCGGCAGCACGCGGGCACGTGCCGAGGGGTGACAGTGCCAGCAGGGGAGGGCTGGCAGGCACGTGAGGCAGAGCTTGCATTGCTGGCAGGTGGCCCAGCTGCCAGGAGAGACCTGGAAGAGAAAACTCAGGGTGCACCAGGAAGCAGTGGAGTGACTCATGAGGTGTGGTGTGGTGCTGAGTCACGCTCAGCACCCAGACGGGCCCTGCTGAGCTCCCCGTGCCCTCAGCCCTCGCTGCCCCTTCACCCCGGGATGCCCCTCCAGGTGTCCCCACAGCTGCCTCGCTGGTGCTCTCTGCTCATGAGAGGTGGGGGGCAGGAGGTGCCATCCCCTGTCAGCAGGTGCTGGAGAGAGGCAGCTCGCTGGGAGCAGGACCGCTCATGCCCCCAGTTTCACCAGTTATGGGGTGAGGATTTGGCTGCACAAACAAATCTGATTAATTCAGTGGTGAGAAAAAATGGGGACGTGCCAAGGAACCCCGAGATGCCATCCTCAGCTCTCTGGTGCTGTTTCTCACCCGCTCAGCTCACACACTGACTCCAGAACTGTGTGAGATTCCCTCCTTGGGACACAAAGGGGTTGTTTCCCCATTCTGGGGGTGAAATGAGCCCCCCAAGTCAATGCAGCTGAGAGGCAGCTGCAGCAGAAAGGCTGAGGAGCAGATGGATGAGAAGGATGTGATTGTGCAAGAGGGATGCTCATCCTCTCTGGGCAGTGTTGCAACATCCCCGTGGGCTGAGCCTGGAGCTGAGGACAGATGACAGTGACAGGGGACCATGAGCTGCTGGACCACTGGTGAACATCTGCCCCAGTGGCTTTGCAGATGTTCCCAGCTGTATGAATCTGGGCTTCACGATTCCTGGGCAGATGCTCGTGGTGGGGCAGGCAGAGGTGGACAGCTTGGGGACAAGCCAGCCCACGTGGGACATCATCCATTCCCCACACAGCGAGCTCAGAGAACATCTTGTGAGCTGAAGGGAGAACCAGCCACAGCAGTTCCCTGACGAGGTATGGCCAGCAAATGTGGGGAAAGCAGGAGCTTTCTGCCCAAATCCAGCCACAAACCCAACATCTGTTTGAAATCGGGACGAGCTCAGCTAACGGTTGAGCTCATGCTTGTCCCCATTTCCTCCAGTGCAAGGAGAAAAGAAGCAGCCGGGTGAGAGAGAGGGGTTTGTGCTCCCCAAATTCTGGCTGCTGTTATCCCAGCTGCTCCCCAGGTTGATTCTCCATCCCCTCACCCAAAAAGTTTCCATTTGCCCACTGTTGCTTGCAAACCCTTCCAGTTCAGCAAAATCCCTGTCACGGGTGTCCCTTGAGTGTCACCCGATGTCAGAGCAGCCACTGCCTCAGCCGCCCACCCGAAATCCCTTCCACAAACCCCCTAACGCAAACCAACTGTGGCAGAAGGAACAAACGAAAACAATTTAATAGGGCGATGGATCCTCGGGCCCTTTGTTTGCGCTGGCTGTTAACACCAGAGGAGATGAGGGATGGAAGCAGTTGAAATGTGTATCTGCTTTGGCCGGCGGAAAGTGTGACGGATGCGCCGGCAGACCAATGGCTGAGGATGCTGGGGTGTGCGTGGGTGTGAAAGGAATGCTTGCTGCAAGAAAAGATAAAAAAAAAAAAAGAAGAAAGAGCCTTATCAATGGTGTTTGAGTCCAAAGTCTGTGTATTCCTTAGAGAAAGGGTTTCCTCAATCCCCGGGGATGATGTTTTCCCTGCAGTGTGAGATTTGAGGTTTGTGAAGGTTCATTTTAGGGGTGCTGGTGCTGTAGGTGTGAATTTAACCCCACAAAGTGCTCGTGCAGGGGCACAAGTGTGGCTAGTGGCCAGAGGTGACTGTCGTCAGCTCCTCAAGGGAACCTCCTGGGAAATGAGTTTTATTTTTGCAGAGGTGCTTATAAGGCAAAGGGGAGGAAAAAAATGAGGCCCCACCTCGCTGCTGACAGCACATCCTCACCAGGAGCAGTGTCACTGCAGTGCTGGTGGCTCTCTCCATGGTTCATCCCCTGCTGATGAGGGCAGAGATGCTGAGCAGGAAGGTGGATGTGGGGGCTCTTCTCCAACCTCTGGCTTCTCCCTCTCCTGCAGACCCCTGGGGTTTGGGGGCTCCGTGCAGCCAGCTCTGAGCCCTGCTCTCCTGGGGAGGCTGACAGATATTTCTGTGGGTTCCAGGTGGAAAATGCCCCACTGGGCAGGCAGCCTGAGGAGGGAGGGAAGGGCTGGTACATCCTGGGGCTGTGGGTGGGGAATGTCCTTGTCCAGCAGTGGAAGGGCTGGAGATGTTTGGATCCCAGCGAGCTGCCATGGCCCCATGGGCGATCTCTCTCCACTTTGAAGTGGCAGAACTTTAATTAATTAAAGAAGTGATTGCAATGAGGTGTTCTCGTCTTCCTTCCCCCTCCCCTTCTGTTTATTTGGTGACATTTTTTAGAGGGAAAGGCAGACGTTGCTGGCTAGCTCAGCTGTGGCTTTGCACGATGGGCTCCTCCATGCAGCAAGCGACAGGCGGCAATGGGAACGCCAATATTTTTCAACTGCTTTTTAAAAGGAGTAATTTTTTAATTAGTGAATCCATTCTGGAGAAGTGTTGGAGTTTTACAATGTTGTAGCTGTTCTTGGTGTGTTGCCTAGACTTGGATGTTCTGGCCATAAGAAAATATTATTTATGGCGTTGTAGCTTGCAGCTCTTTTATATTATAATTTGAGAAAGGAAGTTGCTGTTCCCACCAGTGGACAAAAAAATAGCAGAAACAAGGACTGTGGACTTCTGAAGGAGGAAAATAAATAAAAATTAAGAGGCAGAATGGAAACAAGCCACTGTGCCAGCCTTGAATCTTTGGGCCTCTGAACAAGCTCATCCCAGCATCGCTATCTGTTGTGCTGGATGCTGTAGCCAGACCCCTGCCCCAATGGCAAGGCCAGAGCAGCAGGGACCCCCTCAGCACTCCCCTGCTCGGTGTTACATGTGTTCCTAAACATTTGTGGATCAGGCTTTTTATTCATGGGCTAATGCACACTTGTTTGCTCATGCCTTACTCAGCCTAAACTCCTATTGAACTCAATTAAGGCTGTCATCTGCAGGAGCACTCAATGTCATTTTTGCCCAAGTAAGGGATGAGTAACGAGGCTCTGAACAGCCCTTGGAGAATAGCAGCCATTTTGTTGCAGTTTTTGGTCCAGATTTCTTACAAGTTAGCAGCAGGCCAAGGGTGGAAGAATGCGATATGGCTTTATGAATCACACACAATTGCTGAATGCGCTGGATGCTGCAGAGCCTGTCACTTCACGGACTGAAGCATTGGCTGTCTTGTCCCAAAACGCTCGAATACAACCAAGCTCATGATGAAAATTAGAAAAATATGTTTCTGGAAGGAATGGGATGCAAAGAACATCCCTTCTCCCAGCAGGGCGCTGGCAGGATCCCTCACCCTGATTTATCTCCGGGGCTTTTGGGTACTGGGGCACAGGCCTGTGGCGTGTGCTGCCCCAGTGGCCAGGGGCACCGGGCCCCTTTTGGGGCTGCAGTTGCTGATGGTCAGGCTGGGTCGTGGCCAGGGATTTGTATGTGATCAGCTTGCTGTGGCTTAGCACATTACCACCCATCAGCTCGCTCGGAGGAAGTGACCACGGCGTGGATCCTGGCTGAATTCCCTTGAGAAATCCCAACGGCGTGGGCTGGATTCCCATCCTGGGCACCACGGGGTGGGTGTCTGGGAGAAACGGGGTGGGAAGCAGGGGACTGAGAGCGTGTATGTGTGTGTGTGAGGATGAGGAGAGGGATGAGGGTGTCAGGATGGGAAGGAAGAGGAGGATGAAGACGTGTGGCAGGGCATTACAGCGTGCAGACAGTGAAAATGTGCAGAGGGGGATGGAGGTGAGCAGAGGGACGCCGGTGAGTGAAGGGGGGCGGGAATGAAGAGTGGGCACAGAGGATGATGAAGATGTGCAGAAGGGGATGAATGTGTGCACGGGTGACCCTGCCTGGCTGCGGACGGGACACGACAAGACGGGCCAGCAGCACCTTCATGCCCCAAGGCCGCATCCCAGAGCCGCATCCCGGGAATTCCGGAGGGAGAAGGAGGAAGAGGAGGAAGGCGAGGAAGGCTCATAGAGGGCGCTCCCATAACCCGGGCCGGGCCGAGCCGAACTCTAGGGCTGCCTTTTCCCAAAAAATAAACCTCCCTGTGGAAGGGAAGTCCCGCGTCCCCGCTGCCCCGACGGAAGGGCCGGGAGGAGGAGGAGGAGGAGGAGGAGGAGGAGGAGGAGGAGGTGGGGAAGGAGGTTAGGGGAGGAGGAGGCGGCCCGGCCCGGCCCCGCCGCCTCCTGATTGACTCCCAACTTTCCGCTCCTCCCTCGCATAAACTTTCCCGTCGCTGCGCCTGGCTCGGTGCGCGGTCCCGGGAGCCCGCCGCGCTCCCCGCATTCCTCCGCCCGCCCGGCCCGGCCCGGCCCCGGCCCCGCTCCGGCCCCGGCCCCGCTCCCGGCACCGCGGCCGGCCCAGCCCCTCCGGAGCACGGAGCAGGTAAGCGCTCGCCGGGAAGGGACTCCCAACCCCCCTTCCTCCGCCTCCTCCTCCTCCTCCTGCAGCCCCTCCTTCCTCCCGGCGGATGGCGGGGGGCGGCGGGGTCGCACCGGCCACGCTCGCCCCCCGGCCGGCAGCTCGGTGGGTGTGTGCTGGGGGGGCACGGCCGGGCTGTTCGCTCCCCCCGCGGTGGGGTCGCGGGGTGTTCGCCCCGTCGGGGCTGCGCTGCATCCCCGGGGTGACAAAGGGGCCTTGTGCCCGCACCTCGGGGCGGTGCGGAGCGGGGGTTGCCCGCCCCGGCCCGAGCCCCCCGGGAGGGTCCCGGGGTCACCCGCGTGTCACGCTACATGTGTGTCACACGCATGTAGGGGATGACCACGCACTGAGTGTGTGCTAAACACTTTGTGCCTCGTCATAGGGGTGCTTTGCTAACAAGGCGGCAATTAGATGTATAATTTTCAGCAGTGTGTCATCTTTATTATTATTATTATTGTTTTATTTTTACACCCTCCTTGGGTTTGGTGTTGTTTTTTTTTTTCCCCTTAACCCCCTTGGAAGGAAAATACGGCCAAGCCCTCACAGAGTCACCCACTTCCAACACCCCAAAACCGCTCAGGCCCTATACAACACATTTGGCTTCTACTGACTGAGAAAAAAACCAGTTTGGGGAGAAACCAGCTGGAAATGACACCAGTGGCCAGGCTGGTGTGGCGGGCACCCCGCAGCTGTTGGGTGGTTGGCAGGGGGAAAGGTGAAGGCTGCGATTTTGGGGGTTTTGGTGCTTTGCAGGGAGCCGGGGCCGGCCGGGCTGGGCGATGGTCCCGTCAGCGAAGCGATAATCTCCTGTGTCAGGCACGCCGGGGTATTTTGGGCTCCGGCATCCTCTCTCCCCTCCTATCGCTTTACCCCGCGCGGGTACGTGCGTGTCGTGAGTCAGGGCATTGGCAGTGCCCGGCCACCCTGGGGGGCCCTGCCAGCCCGGCTGCCAGCCTCCCCCCGGCGCTGGATGCTGAGGGGGGAATTGGGGTTTGCCAGGCTGCTGTGCCCCCCGTGCACCCGCTGGAGCTGGGGCCTCTGTGGCCTCACAGCCCACACCCCTTGGGGGTCGTTTCCCACAAGACTGGGAGAAGGAGGGTCCCCAAAGCGGGCGAGAGCTTGCTGAGGTCACTCAGTGGTGAAGCCAAAAGAGAAATGGGTAGGGGGTAGAAATGTGGGGTGCTGGGGCACTGCCACAGTGACCACCACCTGGAACCCTGGTGGCAGGGCAGGTGGTGGTCACTGTGGCAGTGCCCCAGCACTTCCCCACCAGAGAGGACAAACATGACTGTCCCATGGGGAGAAGACGCTGGATTTGGCCCTGTTTGGGTGTTATAGGGTCAGCATTCCCATGGGAAGAGACTGCAGATGGCTGTGGGCTGAGCAGCTCCTCCTGACAGCTGGGTGGCACAGGGGCACATTGCCATCCCCAGGGACCTCGAGCACCCAGCTACCTCCCCACCGTGGGCATGTGGCTGGCACCACGCTGGATTTTCTGACAGGAATAACCCTTTGAAAGCAGCGGGTCCAGCCACCTTCTAAAAATGGCACCCAGGGATTTCGAGGAGCCTCGTCCTGCCCTTGGTGGCTGCAACATTGGGGTGCAGCTCAGAGTAGGGGGATGTTTCAACCAGGGCATTTTGGACAGCATAACCCTCCAGCAGTCATCCCACATCTAAAATCCCTTTCCTCCAAAGCAGAATCCTCCAGCTCCATCAAGAAAAGGGACTTGCATCCATTTGCCATGCCATGCGGTGGCTGTTTATCATGATATCAGAAACAGCATCTCCTTTTAATCGCCTTTTAATCCCCATCTTGCCACCACCAAGTGGGTTGGGAGGCGAGTCCCGGTGGCCCTGGCGCTGTGCCCAAGGAAGGAGCCTTTTCCTGGCGGTGTGTGAGCAGGTCATGGCACTGAGGAGGTGGGGGTGGCAGCGGTAATCAGCTATAATTAATGTATTAAAAAGCAAGTAACCGCGCAGCTCCCATCAAACACACAGAGAGCACGAGGCTGGTGGCAGGTGAGCTCGGTGGTGAGACTGGGTGCAGCCAGAAAGGGCATAAATGGGCAATTTTGGGCTGTTTTGGGGTGGGAATTGTGTTTTCCTACGTTCGTATCTCTTCTTCTGTCTGTGGGAGTGGGAAATGGAGGGGAGAAGGGGCAGCAAAACCCTGACCAGGGGTGCTGTGGGATCTGTGTGACAAGAGCCATCCCGAGGCTCTTCTTAAGGTTGAAATCTCTCCTTCCATCACTGAACTGGACGGGTGCTTTCCAAAAAACATCCCATCTCTGGGAGCTTCCCTCTCTCATTAAATCCCTGATGGTTACGGCAAGGGGCAGCCGGGACAGCGCAGTGTTTACATCTATTACCAACCACCCTTGGTTCTGGGAGCTTCCATCCACGGCGGATTTGCCGAGCGGCCAGGCCGTGCCCTGACCTCCTCAGCTGTTTGTCCAAGGTGTTATTTGGGGTGGGGGCCAGGCCGGGAGCCGCGGCAGCCGAGCCCAGGCCACCTGCGTGTTGTGGTTGGGGCAGACACCTGAAGCGCATGGGCGTTCGCTATTGCCACCGTCACGTGGCGACTTATGAAATGTTTTTTTGGAGGGAGGGAGGGAGAGAGGGAAGGAGGGAGGGAAGGTAATGATGGGGTGAGCCGGCGGGGCCATGCCCCGCACCAGCCTGCAGCGGGCACACGGCAGGAGCGGCTGCAGGCTGCGCGATATCGCGCGTCCCGATCCCGCTGCGGGTCTGGACATGCTGCTGCAGCTCTCCCGCTGCTTCAGCTCTCCCCGCCTGTGAAATTGGGAGCGAGGGGCCCCGGGAAAAACTCCTCGTGGTGCCGGTCAGCCTGGCCGTGGTGGTGGGAGCAGGGGGTCGTGTGGTGCTGGTGCTGTTTTGGGTGCCTGTGCAGAT